CAACCAAAACGACCAAGCTGCATAAACAGTTTAAAGCCAAGGAGGTGACTCCCTTGGTGACCCTGAGCCACACGGCTCTGTTTCCTGGCACAGACCGCACCCTGCTCCGATACCCCGAGGACCTGGCCACCGGCAAGGTTGGCTCCCAAGAAGCAGTAGCCACACACACAATTCACATCAAAGATTCAGCCGAGGGGAACTGGAGCCTGACCCATCCCACAGGATCAGCCACCACTCCCATGACTCTAAGCATCACCAGTGGAATGCCAACAAACTACTCCAAGATGCCTCCAAGCACAACCTCTACCTTAAGGAAAGAGGAGTCCACCACAGGTGACCCCAACACCCGTGTGCCCGCCCGAGCCAGTGCCTGTGAGCTGTCTCTGGTCTATGTTGTCGTGCTTCATGCCGTGGCTGTGTTTATTGATTAAGGGCTTGCACCCTGTGAGAATCACTGAGGTTATTCCTGTGATCCATAGCGGGAGAAATAGCAGATCAGAATGCAAGAAATTCTTGACTCTGATCTAAAGAAAATAACAGTTCCTAAAGACATGCACACTAATGTCTTGATACTAAGCTGCTACTTATTTTCATATGTCTTAACTGAGTATAACTAATCTGTTATTTTGTTTTTAAAGATGTGCTTATTTTGTATTTAAATTTAAGTTTTTCGTTTTACTCGCACAGAATAAACATATCAGAATTTTAAGTACTGATCTTACGTACGGTTTTGTCATTGAACAACTGGAAAAAACAGAAGGCCTGTATCATATCTGCATTGTCTTGCTTGACCTGCCAGTGAGCACCCCCTTCTACAGCAGCAGATCCTCTGTAAGTTATGGCGACATGCGAAAGGAAGGGAAACCATAAAGGACTAAGCTGAGCTGTTCCACTAACCAGAAGTTATTCCCAAGCAAAACCGCTAGCATGTGTATCTATGTTTGCTTCATGTGTATTAGGATACCTTCGATACGAAGAACCACCGTAAGGGTTAAAGTACACCCAGCAATGCCCTGATATCTGCTGGAGATGTGAACTGAGGTGGCCACACGGCCCAGCGGCAGCACTGCAAGGTGTAGGGGCCAGTACCTTTCTGCTCTGTCTTGACTTAGAGACTGTAGGCAAGTTATTTCTCTCTCTATATTTGAAAAAAAAAAAAAAGGGAAAAAAAAAGATCAAAGTAGAGGAATATGCAAGATGTTCAATGCCATGACACCCTTCAGCACCAAGGAGTTACCTCCTCAAATTAACGACACTCAACTCCGTAACTTTATGTCAAGTGACACCCTGAAATGTTAATGCATTCTGCTTGACAGATACAGCGCATCAGCCAGAACGCACCAAACCGCCACCAGCAAAAGAAAGGATCAGCCAGTTCGTAACAGGAGTCACCTAACAAATCCACGAGCAATCAGCTGGTGAGCTGCCACCAAGCCATCCTGGAGCCTGTGACCCCAGAGGGAGGTAACTCAGCCACGGCATGGAACAAGCCCCAGCCCTGCCCCGGGCGAGCATGGAGCCCCCGACCCCGCGCGGCCGCCTGTAGCAGTAGTCGCACGCATGGACAATATTTAAACTACGGCAAAGGGACTCGATATACTACTGATGAAGTTCTGCAAACAGCATGAAATGAAAACTGAAGAACAAGCTAACCGAAAAAGTATTATTCACTTAATATTACAGATCTCACACAATGTTTTCCGCTCATTTCAGGCCATTTAATTTCCAGTTCCTGTAGCATGAAGGTGCTGCAAACCCAGAAACCTCACAACTGAGACTGGAGTCTTCTGCCTGTTCCTCCTAGGTGTCGGTGGGGGCTGTAGACCATTTATAACCACTGGTGTCAGAGAAATCACAACTTTCCAATTGTGAACAGTATTTCTATAACCGGAAACGTGCTTTAATTTCTAACAGTAAATGTTACACAATGGGTTTGTACAGTTCTTTCATTGGCATTTCAGTAAAAATAAAGTTATGTTTGTACTGAACTGAAGTGGTGAAGCGTTTCTTTCGAACGAGCAGAGTAACACCACCGAGCAGACAATACTTCACGACACAGACCCGTTTCAGGCAGACACTTGGCTCCATCTCCATGTCTTACGGGAGGAATTATGGTCAAATCAAATTATGCTATTTTGATGCTGATGTATCCCTCATATTGTTTGTAATAAGCTGACGAGACGATCACAACACTGGGACTATCCTTTCCCTTCCTACCCTTTAGCATTGCAAACAGCTGAAAAGCCCCAGCTTGCTGCTCCCCCTGGACAGTCCCTGTGTTTGTTGAGTGTAACACAGCATCAGCCCCCTCACCCTGCTCAGAACTCAGGCCTTCCCCAATTACCTCGTTCCGTGGCCCCATCCCACACACTGGGACAGATCCCAGAACCAGCTACTGTGCCTAAACTGCCTGATTTGAGGAAATTACACAAAATCCTACACGTGCCTTTCCTGCAGAATCCACACAGGAAGCCAAGTCCTGTTGCATTAAAAAACCCTACACAGAATCAGCTTTCAATGCTCTGAGAATGTTTCCCCACAACGAGACCACAGTGAACAGCAACAGAGAGCACAGTTTTCCACAAGTCATTTGGGGCAACTGCAAGCCCCCAAGCTGAAGCCAGAAAGTCTTCAGCATGCCAGTACAAGCCTGGAAGTGGCAGTGGGGCTGTGTTTTCCCAACCCATGTGCAGGATGGGAAGCTGGGATACAAACCCTGCCGCGCTCCAGGGCTGCGCTCCCGACGCAAACCCTGCTCGCGGTGCTGCGAGCTCAGGGCTTCCTGCTCAGGCTGCTTTCAGCAGAGCAGACTGGAATTTAGGCCTCCCTGTATTTTTCTGGAATACGAATGACGATAAGAGAGCAGGGAGGAGGCAGCAGTGTGAGAGGAAAGCACTTGTTGCTGAGCAACTGCGCAGCCACTCTGAGCTAAACCCTCCAGCCCTGGCCTGGTAAACATGCTGCTCACCCAGACCACCAGAAACACGAACAGCCTGCTCCCTGTGACACAGCTCTCAGCATTTCGGGGCAACGTTCACACCCCCCAAGGCTCCGGCACACCTCTAACAGAGATGTGCTCGCTCTGCACAGGCTGAGGAGCTGTGGGCATTGCTGCAGCCTGCAGCAATAACTCAGAGGTTTGTTTTCCTATTCATTAGTTTGGGACCAGCTTAAAAACCTAATGACAGCACTTCAGGATCGATGTTTATTGATTTATGGACCATTTTAGGAGCAGGGCAGGGATTACAACCAGAAGAGCACTGGCTCCAGACGACAGGTTGTTGCCCAGGAAACAAAATGTGAAGATAGATGACAGAAGGAATTAAATTTCACAGCACAAGAAGGATATAAACTGATCCAGATATATCAGTGAAATGACTCAACAATGCCCTAACAACAAGATCTCAAACTACAAAAAGAAAACAACAAAAAAGCCCAGCCTGCAGCAAGCCCTCAAACATCCTGGCAGCTCCAATCTAAACAGTTTTACCACATTTCACACCTCAAAAACACCATGTCTGGCTCGGAACCAGCAGACAAACACCCCAAAAAAACACCACTTTGCCACATCCCTATGAGAGGAGATGCCAGAACATCACCACAGAGCAAAACCTTTCCTGCTGGGCTTGAAATGCCGTGCCAGGACAACTGAATGTGCAGCTGCTGCAAGGAAAGCAATATTCCACCTAGCAGCAAGGTTTATGCCATAATACAACAATCTTTTCATTAGGTATCCTGTTCCTAGATAAAATGTCCCAAAATTGCTGCTTACCACCCCTGTGTGAAGGCAGGAACACATCTGACTGCCCACGAGCACTGGGGCTTTGCCTAAGCCAGCTGTGGGTAATGCCTTTTTTTGTACTTACAGAAGAGGGATGGAAAGGAACTAGGTCTAGAAAAGATGTGCCAAGTTTTGTACCAATTTACTTCCAGAAATTCTTTCTCTGCAGATGAAATAAGGAGTTCTAGCTCTGCAAACAAACACTGCATGTCAGGTCTGCATAGAATGCAGAAGGATGCCTTGGATCACTGCCAGGCACAGTCACTTTTTAAGATGGGTTATCACTATTCTCCGCATTTGTATGCCTAATTTCTTGTCTGGACGGGACTGGATAACAATGTAGGCATTTTGTTTTGCTTGACATGAAATAAGACAGTGTTTAATGGAACAAAATGGAGAAGAAAAGTGTGGCAAGCAAACAGAGAATTTTTTTAAGAGAATTCAAAAGACTGCCTTGGCTTCTAACTCTGCATGTGGCAGGGGCTTAAACATCAGGGAGCTGGCTGAAAACTAAGGGGAGGAAGAAGTGTCCAGGCTTCCCCCAGAAGCGGCACCACCAGTGACACTGCCACCACTGGCACCATGAGTAGCAGTGCCACAGCCAGCAAGGTGCACCCCATGGGGCAACACCACCCAAAGCTCTCTCTTCCCAGCCTCCCCCAACAAGCAGCTCAGGCAAGAAGCCCCAAGGACCACGACCATGTCA